GACTTTTCATTTTACGGGGAGGTGTTGCCGCAGGTAGGGGGGTTAGGGTGGGCGTGTGTGGGGAGGGTGGGAGGTGGTGAGGCGGGGGGAGGTCAGAGAGCTGAAGGGGGTTGTAGTTGGGCTTGTGGGTGGGTAGGCGGGCAAGGGATACCTCTTATTATGAGGTCGACCTCTGCGCAGTGGGGCGGGACTTCCCCACTCCCTTTGCCCCTCTCCTTGCACCACCCCTCCCCTCCCCCCTCCCCCCTACCGCCCGTCTCCTCCCCCCTCCCCCCTACCGCCCGTCTCCTCCCCCCTCCCCCCTACCGCCCGTCTCCTCCCCCCTCCCCCTGCTGCCAGGCCGCCTTCACCTTCCTCGGCATTGGCGACCCCGCCAAGGGCACCGACGTGGGTCTGCACTCCCCCCGCTTCCGGATGGATGAGGACCAGCTGCCGCTGGGGGCCGCCCTGCACGCGGCGCTGGCGACAGAGTGGATTGCAAGGCAGCAGCAGCAGCACCGGCAGCTACAGGGGGGCCAGCAGCAGGAGCAGACTGATCCGTCTGCTGCCCGTTCTGCGGCAGTGGAGGAGGAGGTCCCTCCGGCTGCAGGCACCCCGGCTGCTGCTGCTACTGCCACTGCTGCTACTGCCACTGCTGCTGCCACTGCTGCTACTGCCACTGCTGCTACTGCCACTGCTGCTACTGCCACTGCTGCTACTGCGTCACGTGTGGAGGCTGTCAGTGTGGCGGTGTCGATGCCTGCTACTGCTGCTGCTGCCGATGCGGGGTCTGTTGGTGCGGCGGAGCAGGAGGGCTCCACAGCGGCGGAGCAGGAGCCGGAGGTGGCGGGGGGTGGGGGGGTTGCTGGGGGTGGTGACGGTGGTGACGGTGACGGTGGTGACGGTGACGGTGCTGGTGGTGGTGGTGGTGGTGGTGGTGGTGGTGAGGACTCCCGCCTTGAGTCTCTGCGGCGTTACGCCCGGGAGAATGGAGTGGCCCGCATGCCCTCGTGGCTGCGGAGGTTGCTGGCGGGTGAGCCCGAGTTCGCGGCGATGGTGGCGCAGGCGGACTTTGAGGCCGGGCTGCGGGAGAGGCTGGCGCAGTCCATGCAGCAGATGGAGGTGCGGACGAAGCCCGCTGGGCAGCCAGCAGCTGCAGAGGCTGCAGAGGCTGCAGGTGCCGATCCCGATGTTGGTGATGGCGCTGCTGGGGTGGCGTCCGTCGGCAGTGAACCTGAAGGTGATGATACTGAGGGGGCATCCTCCTCGCCACAACCGCATGACGAGTTGTAGTCGGACGGGCTATCACCGCACGCCCCTCTCTTTTCCCCCCGCGAATCGAAGGGAGGGATCGGGATGTGTGTGTGTGTGTGTGGCTGGATGGGAGTGCAGGAGGTGATGGCGAAGGACTCCACGCGCTCTTGACCAGCGGTCTAGCATATCTACACACACATACATAATGTAATTAATACACGTGTTGCGTAGAGCACTGCACAGCACAGACCGACGGTGGATACTGTCGACATGAGGCGGCATCAGGCGGTGGGTACACACTAGTGGCGGATGAGGATTTCGGGCGCAGCGACGGTCCGTGCGAGTTGGGTGGTGGCGCATGGAGATGGGTGAGTGGTGAGTGAGTGAGGACAACACACCACCACAATACACCATCGCAACCCGCCAGATGGGTAGATCAACAGGGGGCCCACCCCTGGGTGACCAGGCGGTATGGCTGGCTGGCTATTGTTCCCGCGTGCGTGCGCGCGTGCGTGTGCGTGTGTGTGCGTGCGTGTGCGTGTGTGTGCGTGTGTGTGCGTGTGCGTGTGTATGTGTGTGTGCGTGTGTGTGCGTGTGTGTGCGTGTGTATGTGTGTGTGCGTGTGTGTGTGCGTGTGTGTGTGCGTGTGTGTATGTGTGTGTGTTCGCGTGTGCGCGTGTGTGCGTGTGTGTATGTGTGTGTGCGTGTGTGTGCGTGTGCGTGTGTGTGCGTGTGTGTATATGTGTGTGCGTGTGCGCGTGTGTGCGCGTGTGTGTGCGTGTGTGTGCATGTGTGTGTGCGTGCGTGTGTCCGCCTCTTCCTACTCCTCATCCTCCCCGTCCCACCCTTCCTGAGGGGAGCACCCTCGCTTCCGGCTTGGATGTCTCCAACTTGCATGCACGATGTGTGAGACAGGGGGTTCATATCTCCGCCCGTGGCCGGTACCTGGCGAAACCCTGTCTTCCCCGGGATTTTGGGGCACCCTCATCCAGTCACCCAGTTAACTTCTCAGTGGGTTGCTCAACCACTGGCATCCAACGTAATCAGATCAACGGCGGCTCGACTGTATTCCTGGTCAGCTCTCAGGATCTCTACATTACCTTCCACCATCAGAAGGAATTGCGACCCAGACAGGTCTTGAGCGCGGAATCTCCCGGGGGCATAGGTGTGTGCGCTGTCAGTAGTGCCTGACCTGTTGTAACATAGTAATATAGATGCCTCCGGAGTTCCATAATATGACACGACCCAGGATCGAACTGGGGACCTCCTGTGTGTGAGACAGATGTGATAACCAACTACACCATCGTGTCGTAAGTTCATATACACGCTATAACTAAGTAAAGAATAATGTTTATAAGACCGATAACCGCATTATCGGGTGTGGATGGCAGGCAACCCCGATGTGCTGTGTTGGACCCTGCAACGGGCAGGGCAGGGCGGGTAGTTGCTGAAGCCCCTTCGAGCTGCAGCTCACTGCTGAGTGACCAGTACGGCACTTGAACGGTCCACTAACGGAAGCTGATATCTGGATGTTGCTCGTGGCGACCCGTCAGTGCGGCTCCCTATCTCGTGCGGCTCCCTATCTGCACATCTCACCAACCATGTGTATGGCAACATAAACCACAATATACACCACCACATACACATAACTATATATACGTACACCCCCCCGGGTATAAGTGAACACGGTGTTCATACGTCGAAGACATGACGGAGTGCTGATCGGTCCGCTGGGTTGTGCACGTGTATGTATGTATGTAAGTAGGTGCGTGGATGTCGCGCTTTCATGTTACAAAGAAGGGCCACTTGGGGAGGCAGACCACGCTATAATAGCCGTCAAGATGTACGACAATACACTCACAACCAAGCGAACGAAGGCTGATCCACGGGTCCATCGCTTAAAGGGGATGCACTGCGCCATACCGTACCATACCGTACCGTACCGTACACATCTGGGAGATCGAGTGGCCGGGGTCGCTATGCAGGCCGCTGCTGCTGCCGCCGCCGCCGCTGGAGGGAATGTTGCTGAAAAGCCGGCATGTCCCCACCATCACCGGCCCCCACCAGATATACATACACATACATATACATATACATATACACATACACATACACATACCATTTAGGTACGATATGGCCCCCGCTTTAACTCCCCCCTTTTCCCTGAGGGGTAGCGGGTTCTGGAGAGGATCTGAAACGGATCCACCACCTAAACTGCTGGGGGGACCCCTAGGGGGTGCAACGGCCGCACCCCGATATCTACAACACAACCCAACACCGCGGCGTGAACGGGACGGTAGACGGATCTGGGGCCGACTAGCGGTGTAGGTGGGTGCTAGCACCGCACATAGCCAGTAGTCCAGCGGGCGCCGCGATTGGTCGCGGGTGAAGCGGAGCCAGCAGACACACTACCATAGCCAGCAGCAGCAGCAGTCGTAGCCCATAGTCCACCGTCCACGTCAAAGAAATGATTCCAGTCCAAGCATATAAACAGCCTCAGCACATGACATGTGTATAGAGGTAACGACGAGTTCCCCCGGGGGGACGAAAGTCGTTCCAAATTGGCTCCATAGCCCCCGGCTTACACCCCGATTTACACACCGGGCTGGGTGTGGAGTCGGGTCGGGTCGGGTCGGGACGCCTCCTGGATGGTGGGTCTAACCGGTGTATGTGCCAAGTGAGCAGACAGTGCAGCAACGTCGAGGTTTCTGACACCGGTTTGTCGTCTTTCGCCCAAAAGCTGCCGTACAGTCTAACTAACAAATTAACCGTCCGTCTGCCAACCTGCACCGGATTAGTGAGCAACTGTCCATAACTGTCCCACGTGTCCCACAAAAAGTGTAAACTACGAGCAACCGACCAACCAACCGGCCGTACACTGTAACGTATCACGTAATCGCCGTTGGGCCATTGGACCCCGTTGTCAGTTGGCTCTTGAATGCGCTCTGCTCAGAGCGCACCAGCACCACAAAAAAGGAACAAAACTACATAACTTTACGACGCGCGCAGTGCACCACCGGTAGGTGTGCGACCAATCATATGGGGCGTACCGTTCGGTGGAGTAAGTAGCAGCGAATATGTATGTCGCCGTACACTGGGTTGCCTGTCTGGTCGCCCGCTGGTCATCACTCACCCTTCACCCACCACTCACCCGCCCGCTGGTCATCATTCGGAATGACCAAATAGTCCCCTCCCCTCCCCTCCCCTCCGCTCCCCTCGTGACTTCAGCGGCGGCGGCTGCTGCCGGTCCATCTCCACGGTTCCACAAGGTCCTGTCCTGTCGTATTATGGTACACTGTGAACTGCCGACCGTTGTTCAAGAGTCAACGGTAAAAACCGACATTAATTAACGCATCCACCACGACGATATCGATAACCTTGACGACCCTTTCTCCTCCGCCTCCTCCTTCCTGTTGCCGTCACGGCACAAAAAGGCCAAATCCACCCGTTCCAATGTATGATGTTGTTACAGGGTGGTATAGCTTCACCAGCGGCCCCCTTTCCCGAGGCAGTTCCCTGCTCTCCCCTCCCATTCACCCCATCCAATTTCAGAATGTATTAGTTGGGTTCAGCAACTTACCACCAGCATCCAACCAAATCTAGCGGATCAACGGCGCCACAACTGGTCAGCTCGCAAGTTGATTATCACGTCCTACACCGTCCATACGATGGGGGATCCACCACCTAATTCAGCACCTCTCACACACCGAGAGGTCGGCAGGCGGATTCGAACCCGGAAACTCCGTGAGCAGAAATCAGGCCTTAACTTCTGCCAGCCATTTGCCTACGTATGTATGTATGTATATCCTGAGTGCGCTCCTCCGGTCAGCGGCTACTGCAGACCTGTAGGCCCTCTTGAGTCGGTATCTCTGAGGCCGTCTTCTGAGGGCATGGGGTGGCGGGAGTGCCCCTCCCGTGCCCCTCCGTGCCCGCCCTCAACCCCGGAGAATGGATGCGGAAAGAGAAAGGGCAGGGCAGGGGAAGTACCCCATCAGTCAGCGTCTCACCCCCCCAAGTGGCACAACTGGTCACCCTTCTCCTCCGTCTCCATGTCGTCCGGAAGGGGGAACACCGGGACCGGCACCAACACAGCAGCAGCAGCAGCAGCAGCAGGTGGGGCCGCCAGGGCATCTGCATCTGCATCTGCCGGTAGCACTGCCCCGCCGCTCGTCGCTGCCGCTGATGGCACTGCTCCCTTATCACTCCCCCCAGCATCCCCGATTAATGCCTCCGCGACGGCGGCTCCTCCCTCCGGTGGCGCGGGGAGGAGTCCTGCGGGCACCGTCAAACCCACCATCCCCCTTTCAGCCCTCCTTACAACCGCGACACCAAACTCCCCGGCAAGCCCTTGAGACCCCCCTCCGGACAGTGTCTCCACCTGCGCTGGTGCTGGTGCTGGTGCTGGTGCTGGTGCTGGTCGACCTGGGGGGGGGATCCCCACGTCCAGGCAGGACAGCAGTCCCCCAGCTACTGCCTCAGCTACTGCTGCTACTGCCACTGCTACTGCCACAGCCTGGTCTGCTGCCACTACAACCCCCTGTTGGTGCTTCTGCGGGTGCTTGGGGGCCCCCTCCGGCTGAGTCCCTTCCTCCGGCAACGGCCCGCACACACCCGCAGCTGGTCCGCCCCCATGCTGCAGCTGCAGCTGCTGCTGCTGCTGCTCCGGAGGATGTGGCGGCGGCTCCTGTGGCGACTGTGGTGGCTCCGGTGGCTCCTGCGGCCACATGGGGAAGGGCCCCTCCACACCCCCACCCCCACCCCCAACCCCACCCCCAGCTCCACCCCCAGCTCCAGCCCCTACCGGCCCCGCCCCAGCAGCCCGGTGGGCTCCTGGGGGTCGCGGGGCTCCCCGCTGCCGGGCGTAGTGCACTCCGGCGGCCTCCACCCGGCTCTGAGGGCGGTAACAGCCCGAGCCAGAGCTAAGAGACACACACACACACACACACACACACACACACACACAGGAGGTGAGGCCCACCAGGCCCCACATGCGAACCACCGCCAGCAGCGACACCACCCGGGGGGGGAGGAGATTGGGGGAGGAAGGGGGCAATGCGGGGAGACGGGAAGGTTAAAAGTTGGTGTACATCGGCTGCAGGTCGCCACACTCACACAGCCACATGAGCGACCCTCATATGGCCCCTGGGAGGCCCCCTCCGTACATCCGTACTACGTGCTTAACCCCCCTGGGCCCCCCTCCGTACATCCGTACTACGTGTGTAACCCCCCTGGGACCACCTACGGACCCTCCTCACCCGAGTTGCGCGCAAGTCCAGGACCCGGCCAGCAGCGGCCGCCGGTCCACCGCCCTCGCCCGTTCTGCCTCTCTGCCACCGGCACCGGCACCGGCACCGCCAGCAGCTTCAGCAGCTTCAATACCCGGACCTGGAACTGGCCCTAAGCCCGGTACCCCTGCTGACGGCGGCGGCGTGTCGTCCCCGGTCCCTGCGTCACGGCTGCCCTCCCGCCGCTCCGCTTCCCTCTCCTCCTCCTGGCTCGCAACTTGATGCGGCTGGTCCTGGAGCTGGAGCTGGAGCTGGGGCTGCTGTTGGCGCTGCTGGTCCTCCAGAAGCCGGTACACCTCGTACGGCACAATGCGCCACTGGGGTAGCACATACATAGATACATACATAGGATACATTCGATTCGTTAGATTTGTAGGATAGAAAGAAGGGGAGGGGAGGGGAGGGGAAGGGCCCCCCCTGTCTCTTGCCCGCCCAGCCCCCTGTCTACCCTCCCTCACCTTCCTGCACGCGCTGCACTGCACCCAGGTGTCCCGCATGTGCCGGGTGGTGTGGTCCGCCAGGCGGTCCAGCAGCTCCGAAAAGGCGGGGCTGGACACGAAGGCTGCTCGAGGTTGGGAGAAAGACGAAACATGAGGCCAAGGGCAGGAGAGAGCGGAAAGGGAGAGTTGCTCGGCGTGGTGGCAGTTGGTGGCAGTTGGTGGCAGTTGGTGCACAGTGCCCCATGTCAATGGAAACTGGTCAGTTTTGAGCGATATGGGAAGGGTGGGAACCTAGGGGGAGGGCGAGGGAGGGGGAGGAGGGGAAAGACGAACCACACGCGATTGAAGCTGCTGCCAGGGCAAGATAGTAGCAACCGAAAGAACTGACCGAAAGGCGTCCGTGGCGACTGTGACGACTGTAACCTCGGGATGACGACTGTAACCTCGGGATGAAGAATTGACGTAGATGTTGGAAGTCCTACCTACCTAAGCCGCCAGAAATATTATAGCCAAACCGTAAACTAGTAGGTGTAGAAAAAGTAGTGAAGGCGGCGAGAAAAAAATGTGCTGACGTAAAAGTGGCGTAAAGTTGCTGGCCAGGAGAGAAAGCTGCATTGCTGATACTGAAAGGCTGTCGGTATGCAAGTGCTCCTCCCAACCCCCCAGTGGGGAGGAGGGGGAGGGAGAGGGAGGGTGGGGCCGTCGATAGGCGCATGGCCACCGCATACCAGAGCCCAGTCCCGCATGCCCCTCCTCTCAGCCACCCCCGTGTTGCAACTGCACGCAGCCTTCCCGCTCCCCTCCTCCCCACTTCCCCTGGCCCCGCCATTACACACATACGTACACACATACGTACACACACCCGCATCAATGGGTATGTTGGGCTCCCCCCAGTCTCCAAACGCGTCAATGAATCTCCGGTAGAGGGTCGTCCGACCCGGGCCCCGCGGGGCGATACAGAACACCGCGATGCCGAAGCCGATGGGGGTCTTCTCATAGTCCTTGAAGCGGGCGCTGGTCCTGAAGGAGGGTGGGGCCATGCGGCGGGAAGTGGGGCCGGGGGAATGAACGGAGGATAGGGCATCTGGGAAATGCATATTCGGCGTAGTGCAGTGTGGTAATGGTGGCTGGTGCTGCATGGTGTGATAAATCGTAGAATTGACAATGTGTTCAAATGGCCCAGAAGCCTCCCACTCTGTACCAACAGATGTATGCGATGTAGGCAGTGGTAATGCAGTAAAGGCTGCATGGTAACGCAGTTAGAAGCGCACTCGCGCTGCACCGCCCTCCCCTCCCGGGCTCTTCCTTCCCAGCCCGCCAGCCACCCCCCAGCCAGCCAGCCAGCCAGCCAGCCAGCCAGCCAGCCAGCCAGCCAGCCAGCCAGCCAGCCAGCCAGCCAGCCAGCCAGCCAGCCAGCCAGCCAGCCAGCCAGCCAGCCAGCCAGCCAGCCAGCCAGCCAGCCAGCCAGCCAGCCAGCCACCCTCTACTCCTCCTTCCCAGCCAGCCAGCCACCTACCTCTTGAGCATGACTCTGGGGTAGGGCCGCAGTCTCTGGAAGTACGCTGTGTCGGTGGAGTTGCGGCACAGCAGCAGCACTGCGGGCACACAGCCGTTCTCCACCTCATCTATGGCCCGGTTCACGAACCTCCACTGAGTCTGTGAGGTGTACTCGGGATTCAGAATGACGTGGTAGCCAGACCAGCTGTTGGACAGCTTGAGACCGTCATCCGACTTGTCGTACAGCTTCTCAGCGGGAATATTCGGATTTGCCTGCGCATGGGTGCATGTGCGGTGTCAAACCGTTACAAGCCGTCGGGCGGGGATTGCCACAGACATGCCGGGGGGGGTAGAGCCGTAGGTGCTCCGCTGTGAAGAGCCCCTCCCCCGCCCCCTCCCCCTCCCCCGCCCCCTCCTCCCCCTCCCGTGATGGGCTCGCAAGCCCTCCGGCCGGGGAATGTATCCAAATGTTGTTCAGGGGGTGGGGAACAAATCCACTTTCAAGGTAGTTAGGTAGGTAGGTAGTTAGGTAGTTAGGTAGTTAGGTAGTTAGGTAGGTAGGTAGGTAGGTAGGTAGAGGGGAGGGATCCTGTCCAGCTGCAGGGCAAACATGATTCCGCCTCCCTAGAGAAACCACTGGCCTAACACTGGCCTAACACTCGCCTAACACTGGCCTAACACTGGCCTAACACTGGCCTAACACTGGCCTAACACTGGCCTAACACTGGCCTAACACTCGCCTAACACTGGCCTAACACGGGCCTAACACGGGCCTAACACGGGCCTAACACGGGCCTAACACGGGCCTAACACGGGCCTAACACGGGCCTAACACGGGCCTAACACGGGCCTAACACTGGCCTAACACTGGCCTAGCAGCGCCGAGCAGGGAGGGGAGGGCACAGCAGTGCAAGAGCCCCAACCCTAAGCAGCGCCTACCCTAAGCAGCCCCTTCCCCCAGGCTCCCCAACCCCCACCTGCTCACCTTGCTATTGGTGCAAGGGTCCAGCAGGCCCCGGATGTAGGGGGCAGAGGCGGTGGGGCGCTGGTGGGGTTGGGGGGGGGGAGAGGAGGAGGGAGTCGGCAGGGGGGAAGAGTCATTAAGAAAGCGACATAAACACGATCACGGGCAAGTCCTTGAAACGTTCTGGCTGACTGGCCGGTCGGCCCCGGAGATGTTGGCCTGCTGGCTAACACCCCTGGCTAATGGATGATGGTGCCCCGAGCAGCGCGCAGTCGGCAGTCATCGGGTGGCGAGGAACTTGGAGCCACAACAAAGCATGGTGGATGTAGCCACGGATGACCAACAGTGTGAGAGCGCCGCGAGCCCCATCGGTGCAGCTCTGCAGCTTACCAGGCAAGCGCATCTTCAACCTACCCTGCAGCAGTTTAAGGAGGTTGACCGCCTGTCCCGTTGTGTTCTGGGTTCCCGACTGCTAACCGTGCTGGTCCCGGGGTCGGGGCCCCTGTTGCCTAGTCTAGCCTAGCCTAGCCCATCGCGGCTAGGTGGCACGTGGCAGATGGCCACCATGTCGCAGCAACGATGTCGCTTTACTTGCTGAACACCCAACCCCCGCCCTGACCAACCCCCTACCCTAGCCCAGCCAACCCCCACGGTCTATCGCTGGTATCCACTTCAAGCGTCGGTGTTCCTTTGTGTAACAAAAACTCCACATTTAAACACAGCCTTCAAACACCCCCATCCCCCCCACCCGCACCCCCTGACCCTCCCCTCCCTCCCCTCCCCGCCTCACCGGGAGCTGGAAGACCTTGAAGGCCGCTGCCATGATGATCCAGTCGGGGGTCAGACCCATGCGCTCTGTTTAGTTGGGGAAAGTGGGTTGGGAGGGTTTGTTGGAGGGTTTCATGGGGGAAGTGTGTGGGGCGGGTCGGGGGCGGGGGAGCCCCTCCTAGTCCTGTCCTTGGTGCACATAAACACAAGCGCAGAGGAGGGCTCACATACATGCATACAGACATACAGACATGCATGATGCAGACATACATATGCAGACATACACATAGACGCACCATAGGAACGGGCCCCCTAGTGTTACCTACCACGACACACACACACATGCACGCACACACGCATCCCCCCATCCCCCCACCCCCCCACACACACACTCTCTACACGGATCCCCCTCCCGACCTCCCCCGAGCACTATCGGCATCATCCAGACATCACCCTTCCCCTGCGGGCCTAGGCCTATGGGTCGCGGGCACTCACTCACTCACTCACTCACCCGCCTCCAGTGAACCATCCTGGTTGCCGCCACTGGACTGGGGTCCCTGGGGGGCCTGTGCAGGAGTCCGGGTGCAGGGTGGGGGTTGAGAATAAGAGAAGGGACCGGGTAAAATCATGGGGCTCAAAAGAGGCGAAAGGGCCTCGTGCACATAAAGAATGCCTGTAGGTGTGCGGTGGTAGGTGGCCAGGGCTAAGGCTGGGGCTAGGGTTAGGCAGGCCCAGGGGAGTGGTGTTCCCAAGCAGCGGTTCCCAAAGGAACCGAAGGAAAGAACCAGCAACATGACTGTACGACAATGTACGACCAAAGCGAACAACGAGCACCGCGGACCAACAGCCCCAAAGACGACAACAGCGACCAGCAGCAGCAGCAGCAGCAGCAGCTGTACAACGAACTGGCTGTACAGGTGTGAAGGGACCCCCATGCGGTGCCTTCACCGCCCACCACCGCTGTGGTCCTTAACACGGTGGCATGCGGTGATGGGGTCAGTCGGGTGCCGTACCTCAGTGAACGATCTCAACGGTTCGAGGACCCTGCCAAGCGCTCAATGCCCAGCGCCCACTCCTGGTGCGGTGCACCACTGCTCTCCACTACTACAGCATCACCCACCCAGCCCAGCCCCTCACACACACACACAAGCCTTGGCCCCCCAACCCTTCACTGACCAACCCCACCAGACACGGGGCCTACCTCGTTCTCGCTACCGCAGTTGGCGCAGGTCCAGGGGTGGTGCGGCGGCATGAAGGCGGGGCTTAGCCAGCGTGGTGTGAGGCACAGCGTGTGGTAGGCCCGCCGGCAGTGCGGGCAGCTCACCTGCACGGACATATATACATACATATATACATATCGCCCGTGAGGTCAAGCATTACATATCTGTAAGGGAACAATCAACCCGGACGCAGCTTAGGGTGGCCAACAGCGGGACAGACAGAAGACAGACAGACAGACAAGCAAGGGCACTTCATGGTTGGTGTTACTTGACCGAGAACAGGTGCTTCGGGCCCCAGCCCACCAAAGGGGGAAAACCCGCTCTCCCAATCTCGCTCTAGCTTTCAGCACTACTACTCCCTATCCCCAACAGACACAGCACGGTTCATTGGGGGCCCCGGAAAGAAAGAACCGCGTGGGTCGCAGCAGGTACTCCAGACATCCCTCTCTTCACAGTCCTGGGAACCCCCCCACGCCTCCCCCTCCACACACCTGGCCTCCGGGCTCCTCGCAGGCGGCACACACTCGCAGCCGGGAGCGCCACCCGCCCACACCGCCCTCCCCGCCACCTCCCGCAGCACGCATCCCCAGCCCATCTCTATCGCGGCCGCCACCCGCACCCCCAAACCCAGCGCCGCTACTGCCCCCCGGGGCCCCGCCTCCGCCTCCCCGCCTGCCGCCGCCTGGAGGTCCCGCAGTGGCCGCAGCCCCCTCCCTGGCCCCCGTGAGCAGCAACTCCCACGCCTCCTGCTCCCGGCGCTCCTCCTCCGCCGCCATCCGCGCCTCCCGCAATGCCACCACCCGCACCACTTCCCGCCGGGCAGCGCCCCCCCAGACTGGGCCCGGGGTTACCACCGACTGCTGAGGTGGTGGAGGTGGAGGAGAAGGGGGAGGAGGAGGTGGTAGAGGCTGTACTTCTTGTCCGAAAGGCAGTTGGAAGGAAGGGGAGGGTGAAGTGGGATTGGAGTTGGAGTCGCTGTTGGAGGCGACACCCATAAGTCCCGCACTACTGCTGTCACTCCCCATTTCGGCCATGGCGGCGAAGGGGGTACCAGCAGTTGGAGTTGGAGTGGAGTCAGGGGAAGTGGTAGCAGCCGCCGCAGCCGCTTCAGGGGGTGGCAGAGGAGGTTGTGCGTCCTCCAGTTCCGCCAGGGCCGTGTGGCCGCTGACGGCACTGCGGTGGGGGAGTTGGAGGGGGTTGGGGATGGGGTGGGAAAGGGCTTGCTGGTTAGGGGATGGATTTTGGGGTTCCGCTCCGGATGGGGTCCCCCCCCCCGCACCTGCAGGGCAGGGTGCAGCAGGCGAAGCATCTGTAAAAAGGGTCGCGAGCACACTCAGTGACAGGCGCCCAACCCCTCCATGAACCATGAACGCACGGAACCGCCTCGCCTGCTATTGCCGGCTACCCGCCCGTCTCTTAACCTGGACCAGCAGGAACTCCCCCTTCCCCCTCCCCCTTCCCC